GGAGCAGCTGCAGCAAGTAGCAGCAGCAGTAGCAAGGAGGAGCAGCTGCAGCAAGTAGCAGCAGCAAGGAGGAGCAGCTGCAGCAAGAAGCAGCAGCAGCAGCAAGGAGGAGCAGCTGCAGCAAGTAGCAGCAGCAGCAGCAAGGAGGAGCAGCTGCAGCAAGTAGCAGCAGCAGTAGCAGGGCAGTGCAGGCGGCAGCAGCACTGCAGCAGCAGTTCAGGCGCAGCAGCGAAGCAGCAGCAGCAGTAGCAAGTGCCGTACTAGCAGCAGCAGCAGTAGCAAGTGCCGTAGTAGCAGCAGCAGCAGTAGCACTAGCTGTAGCAGCAGGAGCTTCAGTAGCAGCAGCAGTGACAGTTCGGGCTGGGCGGCGCGGCTCGGACACAGTGGCAGAGCAGCAGTAGCAGTTGGAGCAAGTGCGGTAGTAGCAGCAGCAGCAGGAGCACTAGCTGTAGCAGCAGTAGCTTCAGTCAGTAGCAGCTGTAGCAAGTGCCGTAGTAGCAGCAGCAGGAGTAGCACTAGTTGTAGCAGCACTAGCTTCAGTAGCAGCAGCAGTGAGTAGCGCTAGCTGTAGCAGCAGTAGCGTCAGTAGCAGCAGCAGTGACAGCTCGGGCTGGGCGGCGCGTAGTAGCAGTAGGCGCGCGTGGGCTGTGGGCGTGCAAACCAGGGGCGCGCAACAGGTGCGCGCGGGGCAGCTCTACAAGGGGCGCGCAGCAGGTGCGCGCTAGGGGCTGGCGGGTAGCGTGAGTGGCGCGCGCAGCAGCAGGAACGAGGGGGGACCGGGCGTAGGGGCTGACGGGCCGCGCGAGTGGCGTACGGGGCAGCTAGGCCGCGGTCAGGAGGGGTCGCGCGTGACTAGGTAGCCTAGGGGACGGGACGCGCCTATGGCAGAAAAAACGTCTCGCCTAGGGCGCGTTTCGCGTTTCGCGTTTCTCCTAGGGGCGCGACTCGGGCAGCAGTTCGAAATTGTAATGGTGGGCCCGTTAAAAATTTCGATCCTTAGGAGCATTTCACTCTTAATACCATGTTAAAGCTAGGAGCTAGGTGAGAATGGTGATTACGTAAGGGAGAGAGAGTACAAGAGTATCGAGAGAATTGGGTTGTACCCTCTAAGGGATGATCCCTACACAACCTAGAGTGAAATAGACATAACTCTATGTTTTGACAAATACGATCGTTCTTCGCTTGTTACAAGTCAGTTGCGTTCCTTACACTGCGCGCTAGCTTCACCAAACTTTGCTGTGTTATTCCAAACGAAGCCGACCAACCTACACTTCGGGATCATCCTGAGCCTCGATGCCAGGTTGCATGACCTGGCTCATTTTCGAGTTTGTGTTATTTTGTTTTTCTGTTATTTAGTTTTTTCTTGTGCCTTCTCTCACCTTTGTATTCTTTTTCCCCCTTAGTGCAATCCTCGTTTGCACTCGTAACAGAGAATACAGCACAGAAGTACCTTCCGTTCAGTTCTCCTGCCACTCAGAACTGGGAAGAGCATCGAAGAGGATTTGGGTGCACGCGTAGCCTCACCATGCCAATTCCTCGTCGTCGATAGGTACAAATTCTTCCTGGTGCACTAGACCCTGAAAAGTGGAAAACTGGCACGTGAGGGAATGCCGAAGTGTGCGCTTCGGGAACGTGATTGGAGCCATTGACTTATCGACCACTGGATGATGTGGCGAGCTTCATGAGCTGGATCCACCCATGTGGATCATCCAGCTCAGCTCGCCACACCACACCGAGCTCACGAGCGAGCCGCACCCATCCCTGAAAGCTCCAAGCCCCGCCGAGACCAGAACCATGGGCGAGATTCAGAATAGCTCCCAGAAAAACCGCCCCTCACTAATCTCCACCCACATTGACTGGATGCATGGGCTGTTGGGTGGCACGAGATTGCCTCGCAATGCGCATCACCTAACATTCGTATAAACACCCCCCCTCCCAACATTTCAGTTAATTAGATTTCAAGCTTCCAGTTTCCTCGTACCGTCCAGCTCCTGTTGTCGTCGTTGACCAAAGCGCCTCTCTACATTTATCTGTAGTTTCCAGGCCTTTGCACGACTTTCCGACAGAATGGCTGCAACTCTTTCGTCCTCGGCAACCGCCTCCCTTCGCTCTCTCTCCATCACAGAGGGAAGCACCCTCGCCACTTCCTCCCGCGCGGCAATCCCAGCGTTCTCCGGCCTCAAGGCGCACAGGGGCCTCTCCGCCTCTGCCGGGGTTCAAACATGCACCTGCGTGTCATGCGGCCGATCCTGCGCCTGCCCTTGCGCGAAATGCGGTAACCGTCGCACCAGCATCGTCGCCATGGCCAGCGGAGACAGCCAATTCGCCAGCGTTTCCCAATCCACGGCAGCTCCCGCCGCTCCCGCCACCAGCGCCCTCATCCCCGCCGTCGTCGGCGCCGGCGCTCTGGGCGCCGCGACCTACGTCGCCGTGAAGAAGCTCACCGCGTCTCCCGCCGCCGCTCCCGCCGCACCCGCCCCCTCCTCTCCCGCGGTGACCAGCGTCCCGCCCAGCGGCATCGTCCCGCGCGCAAAGCACGCGGCGGCGTCCGCTCTCGCGACGATGGCGACGACGTTCCCGTCGGCGATGCAGGAGGAGGCGTTCCTGAAGGCCGTGGCGGTGGAGCTGGCGAAGCTGGGGTTCCGCAAGGACAACGGCATCGCGCTGGTGAACACGTGCCGCGACGAGGTGTGCCGGCCCGTGGTGAGCATCATCGACCGCGAGTTCGGGCTGAGCTTCAACATCTCGGGGCTGGGCGGGCTCGTCAACTGCGGCAAGGTCGGCTTCGGAGCCGCCATGAGCCACTCGCCCGAGTTCCCCTGCGACGTCGACGGCAACCTCAAGGAGCGATGTAAGCATGGGGTCTTAATCTAGGTTGCCCTACTGTGAATTGAGTAGCATTCGAATTTACCTTGTTTTCCACTTTGCCGCGTGGCATTTCCGAGCATTCAATGCTTCTTCGTCGCTTCTCCTCTGTGTTCATCCGACATACCCATCTTGCTTCTTCACTAGATTGACCCTCATATTCATGTTTATTCCGTATCTTCCTCTTCACCCCTGCAGACATTTTCTTCGCGTTCCCGCACGTGTCCATCGGCGAGTCGGGCGAGGTGGGGTCGCTGCTGCGTCGCGGTCGCGGCAAGGCGTCGAGCGCGTGCGGAGCGTTGATCGCCATCAACAACGACATCAACGGCGGCGTGGCGCCCAGCATGGACAGCGACGACCCCGAGTACACGCTGCTGCGCAAGAAGATCATGGCTAAGGTGAGAACGTGAAAGATCGCAAAACTGATTTCTAAACTGACGTGAATAACAACGTAGCGTCAGCGTCCCAAGGTTTCCGGCTTCCAATAATCTCTTAATCCCGTTCCCCCACCTCCTAATCGGCGTCCGTTCAATCTTACATGCCTCCATTCCCCCACCTCCTAATCCCGCCAGGTGTCGGGCGGAGACAAGTCGCTGGTGGACGTGACGCGCGCGGCGCTGGCGGCGATCAACGAGGACCTGGAGAAGCTCATCTCGCTCACGGTGAACCCCGCCACGGCGGACTACGCCGTGATCACGGGCGTGCAGATCCACTCGGGCGACCAGATTCCCGGCCAGCCCTTCCGCATCGAGCGCACCTGCGACTACATCGCGCCCGACAAGATGTACGCCGTGGTTCGCGGCCAGAAGTACGAGCTCAAGGTGGAGACGCCCAAGTCGCAAGGCGTCGCTGCCATGGTTTGAAATCCTCAAGTATGGATGATTGTCTCTGTCTACGATTTTGGTACCATTTGTTTTTGGCTGGGACATGTGTCCCTGCTTTAGCATGTAAATTATGTGGCAGGTGTCCCTGCCACCCTATGATATAATTAAGCTCTTATTAGTGGTCATTCGTGCCAAAAAGCAGCACCGTCTACGAGAGACAGTAGGTCGAAATGACTTCCTTGCACTCCAGCAGCACTTTTGTGGTGCTAGCAGGAAGGAAACGTGGGGAAAATGGGCTGTGTTGCTTTCGTGCCTGGAAGCTGTGAAAATGCTCCACTCATCAGCGAAGAAGATTTGTTCGCGTTACCAGGTCCTCAGCTTCACTTGATTCGGTACTGTAATAACGGAACAATGCAAGCGCTTACCTCATTTCTAACCAGACTCGCGATAACCTTTCTCTGGAACAATTAATCTCCATTCTGATTCGAATGTTTGGTATGGCAATAAGCCTTTTCATGGAACTTGAAATTCTATTAACCTGTTTTCTGAATGACAAATAATGATGGAGCACTTCCATGCTAGCACCCCTGCAAACCAAGGTTTTTGCTTCCTAATAGATCAGTCTTACTAATAACTTAAACCCAGCTGAAGCCCGAGAAGCCCATGAGCAACAAAAAGCACCATGATGAGAATCCCCAAAAAACCATGCACGGACCGCAGATCAGGATTTTCCTGAAAGCACGGGGAAGAAGATGGGGTTAGATGGGGTAAGATGGGGAAAGATGGGGAAAGATGGGGTAAGATGGGGTAAGATGGGGTAAGATGGGGTAAGATGGGGTAAGATGGGGTAAGATGGGGTAAGATGGGGTAAGATGGGGTTGATGGGGAAATTGGGGTTGATGGGGAATATGGGGTATGGAAACAGAGATGGGGAATACGGGGTGAAGGCCACAGGGACATGTACGCTCTGGTTGAGCAGTGAGCGGTGGTGAGCAGTGGGACATGCACGCTCTGGTTGAGCAGCACAGCCACAAGCGGTGAGCAGAGAGCAGTGAGCAGAGAGCAGAGAGTAGTGAGCAGAGAGCAGTGAGCAGTGAGCAGAGAGCAGAGGAAGGCAGAGAATGCAAGCCAGGCAGTCATGACAGCAAGGCAGAGTGGTTGGTACGCAGTGAGCAGAGCACGAGGGCAAGTAACGCAGCAGACATACTCTGCAGCGGCCAGTCACGGCAGTCTGAGGTGCAAGCCGCGCGTGACGGGGATGAGAGCGAGCAAGCACAGAGAGAAGAGGGTAGCCATTGCAGGAAACCCACCTTAAAGAGGGAAGTCATTGCAGTCTGAATGGTGAGCAGCAGCAGACCAGCCATGCCTGAATACGCATGGGGGCTGCATGCCATTGGGAAGGAGGAAGAAGACTTTCGAGTAGATTTTAAAAAGAGCAAGACGTTTCAGTGGCAGCGATGGCGAAGGAGAGAAACATGAAGGCCATGATGGGCGGGTGGGCTGCTCTAGAAGCACACAACCCGCAGCCCACCTACCATCAGGGCACCATGGGAGCACCTCACCTCTCAAAGATGGGCCGGCCGGAGGTGACGAGAGAGGTGAGCGGTGAGGCCAGCAGTGGCATCATGCGAGCATCCACCCCAGCGCACACCAGCGCATCCCAGCGCACCCTCTCCATCCCTCACCTTCCTCCTCTCCACACCCTCACCCTCCACCGTCTCTCACCTCTCGAAGATGGGCCGGCCTGTAGTGACGAGGGAGGTGAGGCCACCAGTGCCAGTGGCACCATGCGGCCACCAGTGCCAGTGGCACCATGCGGCCACCAGTGCCAGTGGCACCATGCGGCCACCAGTGCCAGTGACACACAGAAGTGCACCCTCCTCCCCCTCCCCTCGCCCCCCATCAACTCCCCCTACCTCTCAAAGATGGGCCGGCCCGCGGTGACGAGGGAGGTGAGCCCACCAGTGGCACCGTGCAGGAACACCCCACCACACACCAATGCACCATTCAGCATTCCTCACCGTCCCTCACCTCTCAAAGATGGGCCGGCCGGTGGTAACTAGGGAGGTGAGCCCGCCAGTGGCAGAATGAGGGTGTGCCCCCATACACAGCAATGCACCCTCCTCCTCCTCTCCTCACACTCCACCATCCCTCACCTCTCAAAGATGGGCCGGCCGGTGGTAACTAGGGAGGTGAGCCCACCAGTGGCACCGATGGCAAAGAAGAGAAACATGAAGCCCATTATGGGCGGGTGTGCTGCTCGCGCCGCTGCCTTGGCCTCCTGAAGCCATGAAAGGGGAACATGGGGAGCATGGGGAGCATGGGGAGCATGGGGAGCATGGGGAGCATGGGGAGCATGGGGAGCATGGGGAGCATGGGGAGCATGGGGAGCATGGGGAGCATGGGGAGCATGGGGAGCATGGGGAGCATGGGGAGCATGGGGAGCATGGGGAGCATGGGGAGCATGGGGAGCATGGGGAGCATGGGGAGCATGGGGAGCATGGGGAGCATGGGGAGCATGGGGAGCATGGGGAGCATGGGGAGCATGGGGAGCATGGGGAGCATGGGGAGCATGGGGAGCATGGGGAGCATGGGGAGCATGGGGAGGGGAGCACGGGGAGGATGGGGAGGGGAAGCACAAGGAGAAAAAGAGACAACAAGAAACATGAATCCCATTATGGGCGGGTGCGCTGCCTGCGCTGCTGCCTTGGCTTCCTCAGGTCATGATTGGGACCATGGGGAGGATGGTAAGCATGGGGACCATGGGGAGCACAAGGAGAAAGGGAGCAAAGGTGGGTGTGCTGCTCGTGCTGCTGCATTTGCCTCCTGTACCAAAGCAAGGAGAGAAGGTTGCCTCGTGGAGCTACCAGGTGACTCTTGAGTCTTCTTGACAAAAGGTTCACTTCTGATCTGAGCCGTTTCAAACGAACCGCGGAAAGTAACTCACACGAGTAACACGACGGCCCTGATAGCATGATGGGATAAAGTGGCATGACGAACCTCCCTTTAACCCCTTTCCGCTCCCTGCCACTCAGCTCACAGGTGAGGAGGAAATGCGGATCTGCCATCCCAGATAGGGGCCTCAAATGTCCCCTCCCTTTTGCTCCCGGGACCCCGGTTTCCCCCTGGCCCCCCCTTTCCCCCCCTCCCCTCCCAGCACGCAGCTCACTCACAGGCGAGGATGCAAGGCGGATCTGCCATCCCAGGTAGGAGCCGTACCCCCCCATGGCTAGAAGAACCACTGCCTGCATGCCACGTGGAGGACATGATGGAGGACAGGACACACACGGCGTGAGAGTGAGAAAGCAAGGAAGAGGAGGGGCAAGTGGGGGGATGCTAGCTGCTGAAGCCCATTCAGAGTCAGTGACCTCACGGCAAGCACATCTCACCATGTGCTCATCTCACCATGTGCACATCACATCTCACCATGTGCTCATCTCACCATGTGCACATCACATCTCACCATGTGCTCATCTCACCATGTGTACATCACATCTCACCATGTGCACATCACATCTCACCATGTTCACATCACATCTCACCATGTTCACATCACATCTCACCATGTGCACATCACATCTCACCATGCGCACATCACATCTCACCATGGGCATATCACATCTCACCATGTTCACATCACATCTCACGATGTGCACATCACATCTCACCATGTGCACATCACATCTCACCATGCGAACATCACATCTCACCATGTGCACAGCACATCTCACCATGCGCACATCACATCTCACCATGTGCACATCACATCTCACCATGCGCACATCACATCTCACCATGCGCACATCACATCTCACCATGGGCACATCACATCTCACCATGCGCACATCACATCTCACCATGCGCACATCACATCTCACCATGCGCACATCACATCTCACCATGTGCACATCACATCTAACCATGCGCACATCACATCTCACCATGTGCACATCACATCTCACCATGTTCACATCACATCTCACCATGTGCACATCACATCTCACCATGCGCACATCACATCTCACCATGCGCACATCACATCTCACCATGGGCACATCACATCTCACCATGCGCACATCACATCTCACCATGCGCACATCACATCTCACCATGTGCACATCACATCTCACCATGCGCACATCACATCTCACCATGTGCACATCACATCTCACCATGTTCACATCACATCTCACCATGTTCACATCACATCTCACCATGCGCACATCACATCTCACCATGTTCACATCACATCTCACCATGTGCACATCACATCTCACCATGTGCACATCACATCTCACCATGTGCACATCACATCTCACCATGCGCACATCACATCTCACCATGCGCACATCACATCTCACCATGCGCACATCACATCTCACCATGTGCACATCACATCTCACCATGTTCACATCACATCTCACCATGCGCACATCACATCTCACCATGTTCACATCACATCTCACCATGTTCACATCACATCTCACCATGCGCACATCACATCTCACCATGCGCACATCACATCTCACCATGTGCACATCACATCTCACCATGCGCACATCACATCTCACCATGTTCACATCACGTCTCACCATGTTCACATCACATCTCACCATGTTCACATCACATCTCACCATGCGCACATCACATCTCACCATGTTCACATCACATCTCACCATGCGCACATCACATCTCACCATGCGCACATCACATCTCACCATGTGCACATCACATCTCACCATGCGCACATCACATCTCACCATGTGCACATCACATCTCACCATGTGCACATCACATCTCACCATGTGCACATCACATCTCACCATGTGCACATCACATCTCACCATGTGCACATCACATCTCACCATGTTCACATCACATCTCACCATGTTCACATCACATCTCACCATGTGCACATCACATCTCACCATGCGCACATCACATCTCACCATGTGCACATCACATCTCACCATGTGCACATCACATCTCACCATGTGCACATGACATCTCACCATGTGCACATCACATCTCACCATGCGCACATCACATCTCACCATGTGCACATCACATCTCACCATGCGCACATCACATCTCACCATGTGCACATCACATATCACCATGTTCACATCACATCTCACCATGTGCACATCACATCTCACCATGCGCACATCACATCTCACCATGCGCACATCACATCTCACCATGCGCACATCACATCTCACCATGCGCACATCACATCTCACCATGCGCACATCACATCTCACCATGTGCACATCACATCTAACCATGCGCACATCACATCTCACCATGTGCACATCACATCTCACCATGTTCACATCACATCTCACCATGTGCACATCACATCTCACCATGCGCACATCACATCTCACCATGCGCACATCACATCTCACCATGGGCACATCACATCTCACCATGCGCACATCACATCTCACCATGCGCACATCACATCTCACCATGTGCACATCACATCTCACCATGCGCACATCACATCTCACCATGTGCACATCACATCTCACCATGTTCACATCACATCTCACCATGTTCACATCACATCTCACCATGCGCACATCACATCTCACCATGTTCACATCACATCTCACCATGTTCACATCACATCTCACCATGCGCACATCACATCTCACCATGCGCACATCACATCTCACCATGTGCACATCACATCTCACCATGCGCACATCACAACTCACCATGCGCACATCACATCTCACCATTCGTACATCACATCTCACCATGCGCACATCACATCTCACCATGTGCACATCACATCTCACCATGTGCACATCACATCTCACCATGTGCACATCACATCTCACCATGCGCACATCACATCTCACCATGCGCACATCACATCTCACCATGTGCACATCACATCTCACCATGCGCACATCACATCTCACCATGCGCACATCACATCTCACCATGTGCACATCACATCTCACCATGCGCACATCACATCTCACCATGCGCACATCACATCTCACCATGCGCACATCACATCTCACCATGTGCACATCACATCTCACCATGCGCACATCACATCTCACCATGCGCACATCACATCTCACCATGCGCACATCACATCTCACCATGCGCACATCACATCTCACCATGTGCACATCACATCTCACCATGCGCACATCACATCTCACCATGCGCACATCACATCTCACCATGCGCACATCACATCTCACCATGGGCACATCACATCTCACCATGCGCACATCACATCTCACCATGCGCACATCACATCTCACCATGCGCACATCACATCTCACCATGCGCACGTCACATCTCACCATGTGCACATCACATATCACCATGTGCACATCTCATCTCACCATGTGCACATCACATCTCACCATGTGCACATCACATCTCACTATGCGGACATCACATCTCACCATGTGCACATCACATCTCACCATGTTCACATCACATCTCACCATGTGCACATCACATTTCACCATGCGCACATCACATCTCACCATGTGCACAGCACATCTCACCATGCGCACATCACATCTCACCATGTGCACATCACATCTCACCATGTGCACATCACATCTCACCATGTGCACATCACATCTCACCATGTGCACATCACATCTCACCATGTGCACATCACATCTCACCATGTTCGCATCTCATCTCACCATGTGCACATCACATCTCACCATGTGCACATCACATCTCACCATGTTCACATCACATCTCACCATGTGCACATCACATCTCACCATGTTCACATCACATCTCACCATGTTCACATCACATCTCACCATGTGCACATCACATCTCACCATGTGCACATCTCATCTCACCATGTGCACATCACATCTCACCATGCGCACATCACATCTCACCATGCGCACATCACATCTCACCATGTGCACATCTCATCTCACCATGTGCACATCACATCTCACCATGCGCACATCACATCTCACCATGCGCACATCACATCTCACCATGCGCACATCACATCTCACCATGCGCACATCACATCTCACCATGCGCACATCACATCTCACCATGTGCACATCACATCTCACCATGTTCACATCACATCTCACCATGTTCACATCACATCTCACCATGTTCACATCACATCTCACCATGTTCACATCACATCTCACCATGTTCACATCACATCTCACCATGCGCACATCATATCTCACCATGCGCACATCACATCTCACCATGCGCACATCACATCTCACCATGTGCACATCACATCTCACCATGCGCACATCACATCTCACCATGCGCACATCACATCTCACCATGCGCACATCACATCTCACCATGCGCACATCACATCTCACCATGTGCACATCACATCTCACCATGCGCACATCACATCTCACCATGCGCACATCACATCTCACCATGCGCACATCACATCTCACCATGCGCACATCACATCTCACCATGCGCACATCACATCTCACCATGGGCACATCACATCTCACCATGCGCACATCACATCTCACCATGCGCACAACTCAACTTACCATGTTGCCGGGATGTCCCCAGTGGATGAGCCAGTCAGGAAGGTTCCAGGAACGCACCAACTCCCCATACGGCTCCAACAGCTCTCTGAGAGCATCAGCTGGCCGATTGGCAAGGGGGGGAGAGTGGGGAGAAGAGTGGGGGGAAGAGTGGGGGGAAGGGGAAGAGGGGAGAGGAAAGAAAGGGAGGGGGAGAGTGGGGGACTTCTGACGCGCCTCAAAACTCGGCTTTAACAGCTCTCTGAGAGCATCAGGTGGCCTACTGATGGAGGGGGAGAGGGGGAGAGAGGAGGAAATGGGGGGGAACGAGAAGGAAAGAGGAGAGAGGAAAGATGGAAACAGGAAAAAGGGACAGAAATAAAGGAGAAGAGGAGGACGTGGTGAGAGGAAAGGGATGGGGGGAAACGGAAGGCAAGCAAATGGCTGGAGAGTTGGGGGTTGGGGGTTGGGGGTTGGGGGGTTGGGGGGCTGGGGGGCTGGGGGGCTGGGGGGATGGGGGGATGGAGAGTTGGGGGTTGGGGGGCTGGGGGGATGGCGAAAAGGAATAGAGGCTGCCAACGGGAGTGGCTGATGAGTGAGTGACGAGGAGTGATTGCTGAGGCCGTGCCTTCCCCCACACTCCCCCTTTCCCCATATCACCACGAGCCTACCAGCAGAAAGCCCCCCTACCCCTCCCCACTTTCCCTTTCCCCCTCCCCCCTTTCCCCATTCCCCCCTTCTCCCCTTCCTCCCTTCCTCCCTTCTCCCCTTCACCACTTACCCCCTTCCCCCCTTTCCCCTATCACCAAGAGCCTACCAGCAGCAATCCCCCCCTTCCCCTTCCCCTTTCCCCTTCCCCTTTCCCCTTCCCCCTTCCCCCTTTTCCCCTACCAGCGGCAAGGGCGGCGACGGGCATGGGCGCAACGGACATGAGGCGGAGCTCGTTCCGCGACTCCTTCTCCCCCGTTGCGCCGCGCTGCTCTGCCTCCCCCGCCGGGCTTTCTTGCTCCGCACGCAAGCAGAGGCCTGCGCGCAATGAGGGAGGGGAAGGCGTCAGATAGGAGTGGGCGGAAGGATGATGGTGCTATAGCGAGGATGCGCGTTGCAAACTGTTGCCGAATTTAATATCTTGAGGTTGCTACCTCGCCGAATGCTGCAAGCTAGCAAAGAAGGGCGCGATCGCGAGGAGGTGCGTTGCGAATCCTACTACCTCGCCGAGTGCTGCGGCTCGTCCGACGAGTCGTTCCCGCGGCCATCCCCAGCGAGACATGGCGAGTCGACGCGGGGGCTTGCGCACGGAAATATGCGTTTACAGGGCAGGCGAGGGAGGACGGGCGGAGGAGGGCGGCGGATGCCATCGCGGGGAAATGCGGAGAGCGTAATGCGCCAAGCGGAGTTTGGAATGCGCAACGCGGAGCGCGCGAAGTGCGGGGTTAGATGTGCGAAGCGTGGAGAATGCGAAGTGGGCACGAGGAGAGAAACACGTGGATAAGGCAGGGTGCGGTGCGCATGGAGGGAAAACGGGCGGTGTGGCAGAGATCGCGCACGCCTCAGAGCACGAAAAAAACTCAATGGTTTGAATGATGCGCTGATGATACATAAGCGCATGACAAGGTGTACCACGCAATACTTAATCAATATATGAATCTGTAATGCTGAGTGGGGCATTGCTGCTGCTATACGGCTCGGGCTCCCAATTCAGCAGTTGCAGGTGGCGGGGAGGTGTGTTTGTGGCACAGCGTATGTTGACCCAGCAGACCCGCATCATGCCCTGAGATGCAAACACCAGCACGGTCCATCTCGGGTGCATGATGAGGTGAAGTTTGCGGTGGCGAGGATCTCTAAGGCGTCAGGGGGGGTGGTGACGATGGAGGATAGTGTGGTGCTGCCGGGGAAGCGGGTTGACGTAGCGGTGCGACGACCAATGGCCGGGGAGGCTCACGCCCTAGAGATCAGCGTCGCGGACCCGCTATCGCTGTCTCCATCTCTGCTAGGGCAGTGCGGGCGTTCTATAGGTGTGGCGGCAATGGAGTGGGAGCGTCGCAAAACGAGTGATTACGCGCCTCTGCTTGCACGCAACCGGGGCGTGCAGTTCACCCCTTTGATAGTAGAGAAGTGGGGGTGTCTCGGCGGTCGTTTCCGGCGGTGGCTTCGACAGCAGGGGGACGCGCACGTGGGGCTAGCTGTGTCACGGGGGGCTTGTCGGGAGGATGACACTTCGTTTTCGGCTTATCTTTAGGGTTCTCTGAAGGCGCTCATCGGGATGGCGTTACAACGGGCGCAAGCTCGTGTCATCCTGCTTTGCGGCGTCTTCCATGGGGGGGATGAATGTGGATTTGGTGGACCGGGAGAGGGACGACGTCGAGGTGGAGGGCGGGGCTCTTTGGGTGGAGGCCCCGTACATGGTGGATGCGCAGATGTGACTGAGGGGGGGTGAAATGGGGTGCGGGATGGGGCGTCTTGATGGGGTGTCCTGACTGGGTGTTTTGATTGGGTATCTTGATGGGGCTTTTTATGGGTGTTGCGTTTCGGACTTTTTGGCAGTTTTGCTTTCCTTCTCCCTTTCCTTCTCCACCTCCCTTCTCCTTCATTTATATCTCTCTTTCCCTTTTTCCTCTTTCTGTCTAGGATCATGTAATGTACGCTTATTTTAAACAGAATCCACTACAACCCCTATCTTTTGTCCACAACCTTCCCCATAAGCTCAGATGTATGTACCTGAGCTGATTTCCTACGCTTTATTGCTTCATGCCAGCAATTTCCGCATTACTGAATTCATTTACCGCTCCTCGAACGAAATCAAGGCCCTGAATTTTATATTTTTTCACTTCAACGATGGTCGCCAGGAACTTGGTGGGAGGAAAGCCTTTGCCGGGCTTGTCGGCTATCAGAAGAATCTTCCACCTGGTAGCTCCGGTTTTACTGTTGACCGATTGAGATGCCGAAGACACAAACACGAACTGGAGGTTTGTTGCCTGAAGTTCCCATATCATAGGGAGAGGGACAGAGGGAGAAAGGTAGAGAGGGATAGGGGGAGAGAGGGAGAGGAGGGCGAGATGGAGAGAGGGAGAGAGGGAGAGGAGTGAGGAACGATGTGACTGTTTGAGTGTGATGCTCCACCTGCGTCAGAACGTCAATGGGTGTGTGGGAAGATGCGTCAGGTCCATGTGTCATCAATTTTGACGCGCAAGATAAGGTACATAATGTGTACTGCAATCTTTTGTGCCGTTGATTCTGTAATATATATATATATATATACATATATATACAGAATTCAGAAGCACCATCGAAGTTTCAACAGATAAACAAAGTCAGGTGTAACATGTCAGAGTTATATGACATAGCTACTGTAGGCTATAGTGGGGTAGCACATATGGGGTACAGTTGCCTAGGGTTTGCCTTTTGTACCCAACTTTCACTTAGTCATTTTCATTCCTGTTTTTCTTGATTCACATGGTATAGAGCGGGTTCCTACATGGGACCGTTCCTTCCTAAGGGCCCACCATAAGAATTTTTTTTTAGCTGCCCGCGCACATTGCGCCCTGCCCTAATTTTTTTTTTTTAGCGGCCCCTACGCGGCCCCTACGCGGCCCCTACGCCGCCTCCCACGCGCCCCCTATGCGGCCCCTGGCGGCGCCCTGACGAGGCCCCTGCCGGCGCCCTATCGCGGCCCCTGACGCGCCCCCTGGTGGCGCCCTGACGCGGCCCTGACGCGGCCTGACGCGGCCCCTGGCGGCGCCCTGACGCGGCCCTGCCGTGGCCCCTGACGCGGCCCTGACGCGGCCTGCCGCGGCCCCTGCCGCGGCCCTGAAGCGGCCCCTGACGCGGCCCTGACACGGCTCTGCCGCGGCCCTGACGCGGCCCTGACGCGGCCCTGCCGCGGCCCCTGGCGGCGCCCTGACGCGGCCCCTGACGCGGCGCCCTGACGCGGCCCCTGCCGCGGCCCTGACGCGGCCCTGCCGCGGCCCCTGACGCGGCCCTGACGCGGCCTGCTGCGGCCCCTGCCGCGGCCCTGAAGCGGCCCCTGACGCGGCCCTGACGCGGCTCTGCCGCGGCCCTGACGCGGCCCTGACGCGGCCCCTGCCGCGGCCCCTGGCGGCGCCCTGACGCGGCGCCCTGACGCGGCCCTGCCGCGGCCCCTGACGCGGCCCCTGCCGCGGCCCCTGACGCGGCCCCTGACGCGGCCCCTGTCGCGGCCCCTGACGCGGCCCCGCCACCTACCTTTCCGGCCACGCCGCCTCCTCTCAGCGGCCCGCCGCCTCCTCCCAGCGGCCCCGGACGCCGCCCTCTCAGCGGCCCCGCCGAGCCGCCCAGCAGCCTAGCCGCCCAGCAGCTGAGCCACCGAGCCGCCCAGCAGCCGAGCCGCCGAGCCGCCCAGCAGCCGAGCCGCCCAGCAGCAGAGCCGCCGAGCCGCCCAGCAGCCGAGCCGCTGAGCCGCCCAGCCGCCGAGCCGCCCAGCAGCCGAGCCGCCCAGCAGCCGAGTCGCCGAGCCGCCCTGCAGCCGAGCCGCCCGAGCCGCCCTGTCCGGTAAGAGCAGCGCCTCTCTCACAGCACTGCCCTCACCCCACTGTTTGCGCTGCTAGTCTACTGCTGTCATGGCTACCCCTAGTGTTCTCGCTTTTGACGCTGAGGGTCGGGCCATTGACTTTGACGTCTGGATAGATGACCTGCAGCTTTTCTTACAGTGCGATAGAGCAGACGGCCTCTCCCTCTTTGACCTCACTTCTGGTGCCTCTCCTGCCCCCGCCACTGATGCTGACGCAACTGTTCGCTCCCAGTGGGCCACGCGCGATGCTGCTGCACGTCTTGCTGTGCGTCGCCACCTGCCTACCTCTGAGCGTGCGCACTTTAGCCAGTACAAGAGTGCTCAGACCTTGTACGACGCTGTAGTTGCACGCTACTCCTCCCCTGCCACTGCTGCACTGAGTCGCCTCATGCTACCGTACCTCTTCCCTGACCTTGCTGCCTTTCCCACAGTCGCTGACCTCATTACGCACCTACGCACTAGTGACACTCGCTACCGCGCTGCGCTTCCTGCTGAGTTCTGTGCCAAGAACCCCCCCCCCATGTACATCACCCTCTACTACATAGTCACCCGGCTCCCTGACTCCCTTCGCGTAGTCAGGGACCACTTCCTCTCAGTTTGCCCCACCACTCTCACCGTTGACCTCCTCGAGAAGTCCCTCCTAGCAGCAGAGAAGAGCATAGTAGCTGTAGGAGCCTCTCGTGGTGACCCTCGCACCCCCATCTTTGAGGGGTGTTCCCCCTCCCCCCTTTTGCCCTCTGTTGCCTCTGCTGCTGCGGCCGACCTCGTTGGGCTTGAGTCGGTCGGTGCGGCGTCTACCCCTAGCGGGAGACGCCGCCCTGGCAAGGGCAAGGGGGGCAGGGGCGCTGGAGGAGCTAGCGGGGGCGGTGGAGGCGGCAGTGGAGGCGGTGGAGGAGGTGGGGGTGGCGGTGGGGGTGGTGGCGGGGGTGGAGGTGTCGGTGGCGGCAGTGGAGGCGGAGGCGGCAGCGGCAGTGGCGGAGGGAGCGGAGGTGGCGGCGGTGGAGGAGGAGGCGGCGGAGGAGGTGGAGCTGGTCGGGGTGGCGCTGCGCAGAGGGTCGGCTCCGGTGGTGGTCAGCGCCAGCAGCAGCAGCAGCACCAGCAGCGCACTCGTGACATCCCCTCCCCTCAGCAGCTCCGTGAGTGGTACACTGCACGCCAGAGGGGTGGGGGTACTGGTCCGTGCACCTACGTCCTCCGCACCGGCGACCGCGCGGGTGAGCAGTGCGGGGGTGCGCACTCCACCCAGCGCTGCTTTGGCCGCCTGACGGACGCTTGGCGTCACCAGTTCCCTGAGGCCACTGAGATCCCCCGCTGGGGTGAGCTGTCTAGGGCGGGTGTGGCTGTCTTTGACCTTGACTTTGATGCTATTCTTGCTGCCATGTATACTGTGACTATTAGTGATGAGGGTGACTGTTACCGGTGTTTTCCGCCCGACCCGGGCATTGAGACTGCTGCTCTAGGTACTGGTGAGGCTGCTGCTCTAGGTGCTAGCGAGGCTGCTGCTCTAGGTGCGTCTGCTCCCTCAGGTGCTGGTGAGTCTGCTCTCTCAGGTTCTGCGTCGGCTTCGGCCTCCCACACCTTCACCCTTGACTCGGGGGCTTCTCGCTCCTTCTTTCGAGACCGCACCACACTCACGCCGCTTAGCCGGCCAGTTGCAGTCTCTCTGGCAGACCCCTCTGGGGGTCCTGTCCTTGCTCACTTCTCCACTGT